GGCCGTCCAGGTTGGGAAATAGAGTGAAGGCAGCTCCTTAGTTAATAAAGCGGACTCTTTGTAGCCCAATGACAAAACTCCGCTGCCTTGCAGCCAGGTTTTTGAACCAAAGGCTTTGGTTGGTAACCTCATCGTTCTCCTGTCTAGGCATGGACAAGCTGGCGGTATTTTGCCCACGGAATACAATTTCACTTCTAACGAATTATTGATGCTCTGGCCGTCGCAGAGGATGATTTATGGCACCCTGTCTGCTGCATCGAGCAGGTTGGATAGGGGTTCGGACGTTACTTCTCAAGCCTTACCGAGCGTTTATTCCCTCTCTAGCGCATTTTCATCCTCATCGTCCAGCTCTAACCACTTTTATTCCCCTATTTTCAACCCCAATTCTTGACTCAGCGGTCGCTTGTCTTTTAGTTTCGATTCACACGCAATTGCAGGGGTCGCTGCAGTCTAGTCGACAAGTCCATATTCAACTAAGCGGATAACCACAGTGCATTCGGTCCTCTTTGGATCCTCGCTAGGAATGACATGCCCCAACGCGCGTACTTCATTGCAGATTGGCCAAAAGGCAGCAGTTGACCGAGCACTAGAGATCCTATCAATCGATGTCTGCTGCTTATCGAAAATCCGTCTGCAGGATTCAAGTTCTGTGATTATAAAGCGATCCCCCATAAGCGACACTGGTGACACTTTCTCAATGCATTTATCTGGATAAAGCAGCGTCAAATACTGGTCAAGGCCGTGTGGACATTGCTCAGATCTCCGGGCTGAAGCTGCTCTGATTGACTGGATCCCAATCAACAGCCCGACGTGCGCCGTTCGACTGGCTGGCTCCTTCAAAGCTTCGAAGTCGCGCGGGGACATACGGTGTCTCATTGGCATTACCGCCTAGGCCCCCACAAATTGTAGCGCTGAGTCGTCATTCATTCAGACATTCATTCATTATACACGTTAGTCAGATGTGGAAAACACCTCAGCTATTGTGCCGCAATACAAAGACAAGAAAAAACACGCAACAGATGCACGCCAGCTGGGCTATCGATAAGGAATGGGCATCGTCCCAGAAAGCTACCAGACTGCTATTATGTCCCAAAAAATATGTCATGCTAGGAAATGGGATCGCGTTTGGAGGGGGATCTAAGCGGAAGGGATAAAAAACGCACAACAATCGCCAATGAGATCGGTTCCTATCAACGTCAGCAAGCGAATCCAGCCAAGCATGTTCATCGTCCTTCGGATCCCAATCAGGGAGCCGAGACGCTCCAACCGATGCCAGCTTCGAACTAACGGCCTTTATTCCACCTGACAAAGTCATCGCTTGGCCCCCTTTCTCCTTTTCCATCCACACTCCCGGCGCGAAAACAACGCACATCGCGTGAGTCGGTGTGCTGGCATCCGCAAGACGTGATTCAGCCTTAGGAGCCTGGTGCGTGAAGTAACGGTGCTGAGCGGTTCATTTCTTCTTCCTGTGCCATAAACAAGGCGTCGAATACGCTCAATGCTCACCCGGTGTTCTCACCAGATATGAGTCAAAGAGTGAAGGTAACGGGGGCCGAAGGAAACTAGTCACTTTACGTCTTCCGCTGACTCGTAGAAAGAGAATTTCTATCACCAACTGAACGAGTTCCTTCGTCGCAGATGTAGCACGGATACTATAGTGGTGACTGAGGACCTGAAATCTCGTTGAAAAAACGTCTACTAATGAGTTGTATCTGGGTGGCCAATACAGTGCAAGTTTCCGTAATGATAACAGTGAACGGGTGCTACAACTGGCGTCTATATGTGTCTGTCGACCGTCAGGCTGGGGTCCGAAGGATGATGAGCCCATTCGGTTGGCTACACTAGTTGATATGGCAAGGAGCACGTCACGTGACATGCCAGTTGTACGCCGTAACGGCGCTTCGCTGCCGCGCGACCACCACCAGTCGCGCGCGGGCTGAGTATACAGCGAGGACGCCCACCCCTACGCGGATACATGGCAAGGAGCAGACCTCAGTGGCATTTGCGTTGTACATCGCCACCCCGCATATCTCCACCCTCCGATCACGATATAAGCAGTATATTCCCCGTTGAATTTTTGCATGTTAAAATGAGTTGCGTTGAGTTTTCTCAAGTATCTTACCTGTTTGTGATGCGACACAATAGTTGGAGTGTTCCTCACCTTCAGCTAAAGTGTAATGAGGATAAGGCTGACGATGATGACTGAAGCCATATTCGAATCTGGAGTCTTCATACCTCTTAGCCAAGTCATTGCTTGATCTTCACTCTTCTTCATCCATCCAGACCCGCGGCGTGCAAACGACACATGACTCGGGAGTCGGTGTGCTGGCATGCGCAACACGTAGCCTAGCTATCGGAGCCTGCTGGGTGAGATAACGGCTCTAGAGGGTTCACTTTTTATTCCTGCACCAAATACACGAGGCCGAACACGCTCATTGCTCACGTGGTGCTCGTAACAGACACGTGGTAAACTGCGAAGACACCGAGGGTCTAAAGTAACCAGCCTGTCTGAGGAGTCAGGTTTCGCAGCTGTACAGAATGGTTGAAAGGACGGCGGCATTTTAAAACTCCACCCTGCCGGGTGAGAGTAATGTCGCGCTGGTGCTACAATTGGAGGAGGTTGGCAAAAGGGTCTCGAGCTTTTGCTACACGGTTCGTGACCTTGTCTTCGATTCCACAGGCGCTGGTACAAATGCCTATGTAGTTGAATTTCTGAACGACTTTTAGCTGATCACCAAGGGTCAGCGCAGGAAAGGACTTTACATAGCAAGAAACGATTGACAGTCATAGCTAATCTACCCAGTGTTGATTGGCACGTTTGGAAGCTGTCATAGATGAAGATAATAACGTCAGCGCAAACTAAATCAAGAAGTGGATCAATTGGAAGCAACTCCACACATTCCAAGTCCAATGAATGTAGTGTCCATGACTTCGTCAATGGCGAAGTTAAAGAGGATGGATGACTGCGGGCGCCCTTGTTTCACAACGCTGGAGATTTGAAGGGCGGCGACCGTTTGGCATAAGCCCTTACTCTGCCCGAACTACGAGCGTACATCGCTACTATGATATTCCATTATTTATCAGGCATGCCTTTCTTGAGCAGACTCCCAAAGAGCACATGGATCGAAGAACACGATCATGGTGGGTGGTCAATAAATATGACGGTACTAGAAAACAAAATCAGATGAGTCATATTGGCTCAACCGTGTGTCATGTATGCATGCTCATGCGTTATGGAGAAGTGCGTTATCTTGCCTGCACAGAGTAGGATGGCGAGAGGCAAGAGTTAACTGGACAGTGAGGGACAAAATCAAGAACACTTCCAAGCCGAAGTCCACGCTCCCATTTTGTGTTTGGCTGCAAAACATAACAGTATATGAACTGTAGCCGGCATCAATGGCGCGTTTGCCTGATGCTGTTAGCTGTAGAGTAAGATTGTTCGTGACACAGAATAGTAAAGATCAGAAAGTGACGGTCTTACTGACGTCTATTTGTCAAGAAAGCTAGCTGTTTGTGAACGAGTGGCGCTGACAAGACGTTGCTGCCCCGCTCCTAGCGTTCACCTCGACTTTAATGCTCTCCCTTATTAATGTCCGTTGGTAAGGTTAATGGTTTTAAAGTGCGAAAGGATCAGTACAAAACATCAATGTATTGTGTTTGAGGATGATGGTGGCGTAGACGAAATGGTCCCATAACTAGGGCCTGTAAATGGTGGGTGGTTTCTGAGCATAGAGGCACATTACTTTTCTTCAACATGTTTGATATGCCTGGCATTTAATTACAAGCGTGCGCCACATATTCTCACGGTGTCGTTCGTGCCCAAGGATGGCACTGCTGGTTTACATAAATAACTCAATGTCCTAAAGCGCCAGAATGGCGTCTACAACGTGAACTGTAGTTACAGTGGACAGACCACCATAAAGCGACTGAAACCTGCCAGGAAAATCCAAGTTGAACGCGGACACAACTACACAGGCTTCCGATCGGTGGAAATCCAATGTAAATCGTCACTACCTAAAATGGAATCTCATGCATTAAGCCCTTAGACTCCGCTCAACACAGCAATTACTATTTCCGACTGTCAGGCTCAATGGCGACCAGTTGAAACGATTACGCCTGCTGTTTTCATTCTTAACATATTCAGATGTCTGGCTGCAGTAAGTGTGAAATCTGAAAACGGTAAGAAATTAAAAAGAAATTAGTTTTTCAGCTCGGTCATTACTATGTTTGAAGCTTACGGCTGGCCGCAATCATTCATTTTCCAACGGCGTTCCGTCTATCGTTGTCTCTTGTTACCCTCTATTCCCTAATAGCACAAATAAGCCAAAAGTACATAACACTGTCGAACATTGTTTCCTTTTTTTCCTTGGAGACAGCCACTGAGGACATTTAGGATCAAACCACATAAATAACCACCGAGCAGCTACATCAGCCCTCACGCTTTGTGCTTGTAAAAATCAAGTTGCTGATGAACAGCCCACGATAAGATTAACAGGCTACCCGAGCTTCCAGGCTCTTTTGTGGTGCGGATGAAAGAACAGAACCAAAACAATTACTTGTGCCATGTAATCAGAGAATCAAAATCTTTCCCTGACCTTTGAAAGCTGTGGCGGTGGTCGAGCCTCTTTGTGTTGCTTCCGGTTCAAATAAACATCCGCAGCTGACTGAGCGAATCAATGTATCCTAAACTCTTACAAAGTCCACACCGGCTATAGGCATATCGACAAATGTTCTCTGGGATAAATGTATCTGTATACTTCAGAGTCTTCAATAAAAACATCGCGAGAATAGTGTTTCCTAAAACTTCGCCTAACTAATTGGAAAAGCCGCAAATCCAAAACGATCCAGGAAAATTCTCCTCTTACGCGTAGTTGTGTGAGTACGAATTAAATGGGCTTCAAATGTTCACAAACAGTGCACAACAGGCACTCATGGTGGCGAATTACAGTGATTTAGGCCATAGCACAAAGTCAAAACAGTTCGAGAGGTAATATATTTACCTCAAACATAGCTCGAATGCTGTGAGGAACCAAATAGTTCAGCAGCCGGCTACTTGTCCAAGTCAGCGTGGATGGTAAAGCAACTGGGTGTTGGTACAACACTGGTCCAGAGTCAAACGTATGCGTGTTCCTGGGTAGTCGAATAATTGAAATCCCCGTCACCTGATCACCAGCGAGCAGAGTATGCAGAAGTGGACAGGGGCCGCGCCATCTAGGAAGTAACGATGGATGGACATTGATGCAACCCAACGGGAAGCTGGAAATTATAGATTCAGGCAAAAACCGGCCAAATGATGCGACCAAGCCCAGATAAGAATGATCTGCTTGTCGAAACTGATTTAGCAACTTTTCGACAGCATTTGCTGATTTGCGAGGCCAGATAGTGTAGTCAAGACCCAGGGTAGAGCAGTATGAAGCGACCGGAGTCTGACTGCTTGAGGTGACAACATGATCCAAATGCAGCAAATCTGGATTAGGACGGTACTCTTGAATTGCTTTCAAATGAGCCAGCGAGAATTGATCACTTCCGAAAAATACAACGTTAATTGCGGAACGAGAGGCATATGCAGGCGGGGTTCTGAACATCAACCGGACAGAACAACATAAGCGCTGTAGGGAGATATATTGCATTCTGTGTATCAAACATGTAGAGTATCGGAGCAAAGAGAAACTATTCAAACAAAAGTTGATGGAAATCTTAAAAAGCTATTAACGTGCACAGCTGACGTGTCTGTGAGATTTTAGCAACGCATACCGAAAGTCAAATAGAAGAAGTAAACACAAAGACATCGGTAGTACGCCGGCACACTGCCCTGACGCTTCGTTGTCACACAACCACTACCGCTCGCGCGTAGGCTGGGCATTCAGCTGGGTCGCCCACGCCCACGCGGATTGGAACCGGTGATCTCTGGAGTACAACACAAGCGGTATTCCGTTCGGTCACCGGTCCATATAAGTCCATATAAGTCCCCCGTACTATGGGACAGAAAACAGTGGTTCGGAGACCAGATAATGGATGATAGTCGGTCCGAACAATTCAGCTGGGTATGGAGAAAAAACCACAACGCAGAAACAGCGGTCCGCTGAAATGAGCGTATCGAAAATCCACTGAATCAGCAGTACGTCGGAACAGTTTACAGACGCTTCACTTTCAAGCGATCAACAATAGTCGCACAAAAGATGCATATACCGCGAAATCCCAGTACGACGAGACTGAATCTTAACGGGATGCGATCGTTTGCGTACTTCCATGACCGGTAAGATACGCTGGGTGGCACTTTCCAATAACCTCCACAACCACTCAGTCTAGACAGGTCGGTGGTTCTGGGTCAGAATAAACCAGTCCCAAAATCCAATCCACTTTGGAGATTAGGGAGAGATCGATGGGCCTCTTTCATTAAAACCTAGCCATGGGTGACAACAGGATTACGGGTTATAGGCTCACAGCTCGATTGGTGTAGAGCACGAGCGCCCCGCACTGTCTCTGACAATGGGAGGGCACCACCCGGTGCTTAAGGATTTTCCACCGCCCGCATGAAGTCAGGCAGTCCGTGGCCAAATAGGAGAAAACTCGTCAACTCGAAATTGAGGCTGTACATGGTCATCATCATCAAGATTACATGTTAGCTGTTAGTGAGAAGCACACTTCACCTAATGTGCCTCAATAAAAAGTTAAGATTCATGAAGAAGCGAAATGGGAAACATCATGGAATACAAAAAACAGGTGACAAACCACTTAGTAACACGTTATGCTCAAGACAGAGAAGGTAAATGTAAGAGGAAGATAAGTAGAATGAGAGGGAAAAGAAAGCCACAACAAAAACGCAACTGAGGTCAGCTCCTCGTCATATTAACTGATGTACCCAACAAGACATCTTCAACGTCCGTCGGTCCGCAATCCGGCAGTCGGGAGACAGCAAACGACGCTAAGTTCGAAGTGAGCGGTTTCATTCCTCTTGATCAAATCAAGGCTTGGCCTCCGCTCTCCTTATTCCATCGACATCCATGGTGAGAAAACAAAACACGCAGTGGGAGTTGGTGTGCTTGCATGCGAAACACGTGACCCCGCCATCAGAGCCTGGTGCGTGAAGTAACCATGCTGAAAGGTTCAGTCGCTCTTCCTGCATAAAATACGTGACGATGAACACATTTATACTTCATGCCGTGTTCTTCCAGGTATGAGCTAAATTGCGAAAGCAACGATAATCAAAATCAACTAGCTTCTATGTCTGTCAACTAGATGGGAAATGTTTCGCAACCGCACAAAAGGGGTGAAAGGACGATTGCATAGTAAAGTCTACCCTTCAAGGTGAAAGTGAAGTCGCGCCAGCAGCATAAGTAGAGGAGGTTGGCAAAAGCGTCTTGAGCTTATGCTACGCGGTTTGTGATCTTATCTAACATTCCACTGGCACTAATATAGCTGCCTACATACTTGAATTTCCCGACGACTTCTAAATGACCACCATTAAGTGTCAGCGCAGGAGTGGGTCCCTGTCAACCTTAGAGAACGTTGACGGCGCAAAGCATAGCGCGAAATGACAGGCAGCTAATGCTAATATGTCCAGTACTACATCGCACGTTTGGGACCAGCGTCGCCGGCGTAATCAAGTCAAGAAGTCGATCACCCGGAAAAAACTCCACACCTTGCAAATCATGTCCAGTGAGCTTCGTCGATCGAGAAGTCAAAAAGGAGAGGAGACGGTAGGCATCCATGTCTCACACCGCTGAAGATACAGAAAGACGAGGAGAGCTTACCGTAAGCTCTCACTCTGCCGGAGCTACACGCGTTAAAGGCTCTGATAATGATTACGTAGTTTGCGGGCACACCTTTCCTGAGTACACGGTACCAAAGGACACAAAGCCACCGAATCAGAGTTACGTTTGATGCCGAGAAACACGACAACGGTGGGCCGCAACTACATGTGACGTTGCTCCAACAATTGACGCAAAGTGAATATATGGTCAATATAGCCGCGACGTTGACAAAACGCGGCTTGCTCCTCACGAATTTGGGCTTCGCGGGTGTCAGCAAACCTATGAAGAATAACAGATGCGAACACCTTAGGGGCAATTAAGAGTAGACTGATCCCTCTGGGATTGTCGCATTCGGAACGTGAGCCCCACTGAAAAATTGGGACTATAAAGGAATGACTATAGTCGGTCGGGACAGTTTCCTGCTCGCACGTTTTTACTAGTAACTCGTGTAAATCATCAACAAAAGCGGCTATCCCGAAGTTAAGAGAGCTGGGGGAAGTCTACTTGATTCTGCGGCCTTATTCACTTCCAACAGTCTGCTCCCAAGTTCGAGTTCTGGGTGAGAGGGCGGATCCAAAGGGACAGCCTGGAAGCAGGGCGATCAATGGCCGACGAGGAATCTGACAATTCGGGTCGATTTAATGGCCTTTCAAAGTGTTTAGACCAACGCTCCAAGTGTTTTGATAAGTTGTAGATAGGCTGTCCACTCCAGCCGCAAGGAGTTTTAATAACATCAGGTCTCCTGCTGCCCGTTTCCCATCTCAGACGAAATAACTTACGATAGTTAGCAAGCTCAGCGTCCACTTCCACCTCTAACGTACGATGAGACCACCAGGATTCTCTTTCAGCTAGCATGCAGTTTTGTTCTGAGGTCTTTGCGAGTCTCATTGTGTGCGCTTACAGCCGAAATGTGTTAGCGAGCATCAGAAAGTTCTAAAGACTGCGTAAAGACCCAATGTATTGGTTAGCGATTTAGGTTGCCAAATGAGAATTTACCTGTCCATAGAAAGGCTGGTGAACATGCGACCAGCATCCTTTAACGGTATTCAGTGAGCGCTTACTCAACACGAATGCCAGCGAACTTCGATAGGTATTCAGAACAACTTGCATCGACGGTTGGTGGGTGTCTATGCGCTGACAGTCGTCGAGGAAGTCCGCGAGAACGCACCGGCAGATCAACACACACAAGTACATAGTCAGTCCACAAACGTTATCCAGATCGAGCGACAGTTTTGGACACTTCTCCAGCGGTAACTGACCACGAGGTGATGGAGTTGCGCCCACGAGCAGTCCAAGGCTGGTGCGCGTCATGTCACTCTCCGGCACGTGCTGTATCGGAAGTTAATGCTCCAGATTAATAGGGGACCATCTTAACACAAATCAAGTAACCGCTTACCCTTACCACTACGGGAGCTTACATCGTATTGGCCGCCCAGATTCAGCTCACGAGCAGATATTTGTCAAACTTGAGCGTTCAGAGTCCTCACAAGCATTATAGTACCCGTGCTTTTACGGTAACGAAGGAGCTCGTTCAGTTGGCGATAGAAATTGTCTTTCATCGAGTCACCGTTACAGTTCGTGGGCGCGTAGGCAGCGATGGTGAACAGACATCTATTAGACTCGCGCGACTTCGAAGAGCCAGCTAGTCGGACAGCGCACATCCAGTTAATGACTGAGCTCTAATCAACCAGAGCAGCTTCAGCCCGGGGACACAGGGCAATCCCAACACCGCCTTGGTTGGTACTCGAAGCTGCATCGTCTCCGGATAAGCGCAATGAGAAAGCACTGCTAGTGTCACTTGAAGGGGATCGCCAAGCGAGCACAGAGCTCGAGTCTTGCAGGCGAGTTTCTGCTAAGCAGCAGATATTAATCGAGAGGGTCCCTAACGTTCGGGCAAGCGCTGCTCGTTGGTCGATCTCTGACAATATGCGTACGTGGCTGGCTTGCCGAACAACCTCCTCGTGGTGCCAGCTGGGTGGTTCGGTATTTTCCCTTTCCAGCAAATGGTTCAGCGGCAGTGTTCCAGGACGTGGTGGGTTTTCGCCTGGCAAGCATTCTCCCTATAAAAAGCCACACATGTCCGTTTAACAACACTGTGACGTGGCGGACGTGACTTGCCACTAAATAACGTCACTGACCCTTGCTTCATCCTGGCGAAGCATTGTATTCCGACAACTATGCTGTAATTCTGGGGAGCATTGGGCCCCTGTTTAACAAAGGAACAAACGAAAGGCGTATGAATTGAGTAATCAATCACCGGCTCCCAATGGGCGCAATTCCCTGAATTCGCACCGCTGCCTTGCGGGCAGGCTATTCAGCCTAAGGCTCGGGGTGGTGTCTCCTTAGTCAAACACCCTACTTCGGCTTGGACAACCGGGTAGTATCTCGCTCTCTGACGAAACCATGGACTTTGATGTGCTGTGTTGTGTTTTTTTTTTACTATTTCTGTACCTTCATTTGAACTGTAAACTCTACCCTTCAGGTAGAGAAGGATGTTGCGCCGGTGTCATAGGTGGCGAAGTTTAGCAAAAGCACCTCGACCTTCTGCTATGCGGTTTGTGACCAAGTCTACGATTCCCACGGCGCTGATACGACTACTTAGGTAGCTGAACTTTCAGAAGACCAAGAGCCAGCGCAGGAGGCGGTCCATGCCAATCTTGGTGAAAAGCTTCGTACTTCGAGGGTGCAAAGCAAGACCCAAAATGGTTGATAACCATGGATAAAAAGTCCAGTGCAGCTTCGTATGTTTGTGAGCTGTCACAGATGAGGACAATATCATCAGCACACTTCAAGTCAAGAAGTCGATGGCCTGGGAGCAGCTCAAGGCTCAAGTCGTGTATTGTGAACGCTAACTCG